GTACCAAGGCTAAGGTGTCAGTCACACGCATCTTACCAAACACTGGTCACACTGCTGTCCAGTCACGTTTGGTTTGCAGTCGCAGAGCCCGGTCTCAAGATGGCACACGGCAGAATGGGAGCCTTTCGCATGGCATCTGCAGGCTAAACACATGCACACAAAGACATATTAACCCTCACTTCTGAGGATGGTTATAAGATCCTTCATCCCCAAAGGAAAAAAAAAAAAATGTAAACCTTCAGCGTTTCAAATCACAAAACTAAAAATGATATTACTGGCAATAACTTTAGAAGTTTAGCATTCTTCTGAAGAGTAAACTAAAACAGGGTTAGTGGAAGGATCCATCACAGGAAAAACATATTGAAGCTATTAAGACAATAATTACAAATTCGCTTAACTAATTTCATGAATTCCATGACATTTTAAAAATAAGCTACAAATTCCCGTGAAAAACATGCAATGGAGATTTTCAAAACCAACTTAGCCATTTGTTCTGATTTCAATCAGGTACATATTTTTTATATATATACACATATATATACACACATATATATATATACACACACACACACACACACATATATATATATACACACACACACACACACACACATATATATATATATATTTTTCAGACTGAGTCTTGCTCTGTCGCCCAGGCTAGAGTGCAGTGGTGCGATCTCGGCTCACTGCAAGCTCCGCCTCCCAGGTTCATGCCATTCTCCTGCCTCAGCCTCTCAGGTAGCTGGGACTACAGATACCCGCCACTATGCCCAGCTTATTTTTTGTATTTTTAGTAGAGATGGGGTTTCACCGTGTTAGTTAGGATGGTCTTGATCTCCCGACCTCGTGATCTGCCCGCCTCAGCCTCCCAAAGTGCTGGGATTACAGGCGTGAGCCACCGCGCCCGGCCCCCAGGCACTCTTTATGAATGCGTGGACTCAGAACATGTGCAGTGTGTGTCATGACATAACGATATAACAAAAAAGAGAGAAAAACTTCACAAATAATGGAAGGCCCAAACACAACCCGGAGGCTGCAGCAACAGTGCCGGACACGGGACACGGGAAGGTCAAGGGCAGAGGAAACGTGCTGGGATTTGCCTCCTTCATCATCTAGGCCAGGCTGGCCATCTGTTTTCCTGGGGTGGGGGCCTTAACGCTGAAGTCCCACAGAAGGCCCCATTCACTGGCGCCCTTCAGGGACTTGCTCTGTCAACCCATAGCTGGACCGTGCAGACTCTACTGCTAATTCCCCAGCACATCCTTCTCTACTGACCCCATCAAACACAAGACACCCGTCCCCTTGACCCTCCATCGGAACGTCCACCTCCCTGGCACGTCCGTTCAATCCAGCTTTTGCATTGTGTCTTCCTGGCCCCTTGTCTGCTACAACTGTTCTCCCAGAAGTCTCCAGGGATTTCCCCGGCACCAAATTCAGGGAGTAGACTTCGGTCCCCCTCTGACCCCGTGGCTCTGTGGAGGGGACCCCGTGACCTCCCTCTCCCTTTTGCATCGCCCTCCTACTGAGGTATTTGGGACGCCCACTTTTCAGCCCCCCTTGTTTCTCGTGTGTCTCCCCTCCGTGTTTCATTTAAAGCTGCCTCTTTCTCTGGGGAATATTTAAAGTTCAATGCAAGTATGATCAATACAAACTATTGATGATAATTTAAAAAATCATATTCACTGTATGATGTGTCTGTCAGTCTGTGCCTGTCACATTCAGTATTTCTTTGTACTTTCATCACAAACCAAGGAGGGAGGTGAAATAAAAATAATGTTCTCTATTTTTGGTGTGAAATCTACAAAATCTACAACTTGGAAAGATTAGATACCTTTCCATAGGTCACACAGCTATTACTAGTTCTCTCTCTGCAGTAATAATTATTATGGTGATTCTTTTTTTTTTTTTTTAGACGGGGCCTCACTTCGTCACCCAGGCTGGAGTGCAGTGGCACAATCTCGGTTCACTGCCACCTCCACCTCCCAGGCTTAAGTGATTCTCCCACCTCAGCCGCCCGAGTAGCTGGGAGTACAGGCACTCACCACCACACCCAGCTAATTTTTGCATTTTTATTAGAAATGGGGTTTTGCCATGTTGGCCAGGCTGGTCTCGAACTCCTGACCTCAGGTGATCCACTGGCCTCGGCCTCCCAAAGTGCTGAGATTACAGGTGTGAACCACCATACCCGGCCTATTATAGTAATTCTTAATTAAAATAGTATTTATGTTATAGATAGTACTAATTTAAAATAGTATTATTTTAGGCCAATTACTGAATAGCCAGGTACTTTATATATATTTTAATTCTCAGGAGTAGCTCACAATATAAAAATTATACTCATTTAACTTATTTAATATAAGATTTCTTTAATATTAGAATTCTGTGAGGTTTCTCACCATCCTCATCTTCCCCAGCGCCTACTCTACCCGGACGGCCTGTCTACACCTCTGGCTGCAGCCACTGAAGGTGAACCTGATGATCAGTTTCTCCTCCTACCAAGCTTCAAGTGAGTCAGAGTTACGGGCGGGTTGAACTATAAGCACTTGCTTTAGAGAAGGTCAATCACATACAACACCGGCACTTTCACCTGGTTTAACCTAACAGACTATAGTATTATACAAGAATGGGGGGCCCTGTGGGAAGTCCATAGAGGGAAGCCTGTTACAGAAACGGAAGGATTGCTCCTGAGATACGCAGAAGCCATTCACAGGACTTTGTCTCATCGAAACCAGGGGATGCGAGGAGGGGATGAGAAAGCGAGAGAGGAACAAAAGCTGTGAAGTGCTGAGAAACCAGAGAGAGCCTGGACAGCATCAGCCCCACCAGCCCAGGCCCAGACCCAAACCCCAGCTGCTCTAACCGGCCTTCCTCCACCTTCCAATCTGTCACCAACACCTATTTTATGTCTCCTCTTTTATCTCCATGGCAAAGGCCCTATCTGAAGCCCTCATCAGCAAGATTCATTTCCGGTCTTGTCTCCTAACCCAGCACCCCGGCAGCCAGTCTCTCCTCAACGCTGGCCGCAGGGCACTATTCAAACACACAGCTCCAGTCACACCCTAGTGAGTCCCAGGACAGTGAGGACGAAGTGACCTCAGCACCTCAACACTGCACACGAGACCCCGCCGACGTGGCTGCTTCCCACCTGTCAGCCCGAGACCTCCCCTCCCTGCCTCTGTCTTTTCCATTCTGCTCACTCTCTCTCCAGCCTCTACCTCGGGCAGGGCCTGCCCGCTTGCCTGGGCCCGTCTTCCCACGCTGGTCACCCTTCTTGGGGCTCCTCTTCCCATCCTTCAAGTCTCAGATGAACAGCACTCCCTTCAGAAGGCAGCACTGGCCACCCTGGGCTGATGGGCCTGCCCGTCCTCTGTGCCTTCAAGTGCACCCCCAGACAGTCATTCATCGCCTTCACCTTCACAGTCCTGTCCTGTGGCCGCCAACCACACATGTCTACCAAACACTGGAGATGTGGCTGATGCAACCGAAGAACCACATCTCTGAGTTTAAATTTAAATACTGAAGCGGTTTTGTCAACGTGGATGCCAATATTAAAGAAAATAATTTTTGGTACAGGATGGAAAAATTTTAAATATGTTTGAACTACCTTTTCAACTGTAAATTTTCTGTAATCTGCATGTAGATCAAGTATTTCTGATGAAAATTTAGCAAACTGAGCTGGGCTATAAAATATACACTCAATTTTGACGACTCAGTACTAAAAAAGAAAGTAAATATTGCTTTAATACTTTTAAAACCTGATCACATGACAAAATGCTAATTTTTAATATATCAGCTCAGGTAAAATATATTATTAAAATACATTTCACCTACTTCTTTTTACTATTGAAAAATATGGCTACTAAAAAATTTTAAATTACATGTGTGGTTTACATTATATTTCTATTGGACAGCAGTGGTGTGAAAATATAATAAAAATGATTGCTTTATTACTAGTAATTATAATAGCTACCATTTATTTCATGTCTAGAACTGTAAATGTTTTTGCACTGACTTCTCAGAAAGGCCTTAATATACACATATAATTACGTCCATTTTATGAATAACAAAATAGGGGCTCAGAGAGGCTAATAAATTAGCCCAATGTCACACAGTTGGTCCTGGAATCAAAGTCACATTAGTCAGACTCCAACGGCTGGATCCGCAGGTATGTTTTTTCCCCACACCATCATCATGTGTAGCTTCCCAGTAGATTTGAACCACAATTTCCCAACTACCTGTCACAGTTCTTAGGATAGTGTCTGGGAAATACCAGACACTTAATAAACAATGAATGAGTGGAGGAACGAATCACCAAGGCTTGCAGTAATGATGAAAAGAAATGACATGAAAACGATAAAAACATTCTGTAAACTGTGAAGCACTGTAGAAATCCTGTTATCATAATTATCCTGGTATGATAGCCAGTCAAGGTGGCCACCTGCTGGAGACCAGCCTGATTGACCCAGAGCTAAAAACATTTCCAATCTCTCCATGTGTGGCTGGGAAAGTACGTTTTCTGTATAGCTGGCGCCCTCTTGTGTCCCCACATTGTAATACCATAGTATGACTTTGGCATTTATATGAAATACTCAAAATAATTTGTAATTGCCAGTTTTGTTCTTTCACTCCTTAAAAATCTGAGGGCTGAATCATCCCTCCGGCCAGGTCATCTGCTGTACAGGAGAATCTAGTTTTCTCCATGATCCGTAATTTCAAGACTCAAATTCAGCAGAGGAACACAGGGATCAGGTAGTTTCGGCACAGAGGACTAAGATGCACCACACGGTGCTTTACCCAGTTTCTGGAGTTACAGTCTTACCATTTCCCACCCTTCATCTTGGAATCTCATCTGCCTCATGCAGCCCCTGAAGCATCTCCCTTATGAATGTGACAGGCTCTGAGCTTCCCCACTTTCATTTCAGTCACTGGGAGCAGAGCCAGAACTCTCTCAAGTCACACTGGCCGCTCGAGTGGCAGGCTGCATCTTTCCAGGCCCCTGGTCCCTATGGGTTGTGACTAACCAAGCTCAGATAGGGTAGCCAGGGAAGAACTGGGTCGTGGGTCTGTGTTTGATCGGGGACCCAGCATTAACGCAAGTAACCCCTCAAGAGAGCGTGACCTCCTAGGCTGGGCCCTGTGTGACCCATGTGACTTCCTACGGCGATAAACAGCCGACCTGACTTCACGCTCGCGCACTCACCACGGCAGTTCTTGGCTGTCACAGCGTCCCCGTAGAAGCCGTCAGCACACCTTTCACAGTGGGCGCCGTCTGTGTTCCCCAGGCACTTCAGGCACTCCCCGGTGACCGAGTCACAGTGACCAGCCTCCGAGGGGTCCACGTTGCCGCTGCAGTCACAGGGAACACAAGATTCGCCAGGCACTGTTGGGTTTCCATAGTAACCATCTGCACATCTGTATCAACGATTGAAAGCGGGATCAGACAAATGCAATTACTTAAGGCCTTACCGCACTATCCAGGGGCTCCCTGAATGGCCAATAAATCAGACTGACTCTGTTCCCTGAGATTTACTGTGAAAGGGATACGACTCCACGCTCAGGCATTCCCAGATCTCTTTCACCTGTTGTGATGAAGCGGGAGAGCGTCCAAAATGAGGCATAAATCCAGTGGACGTGCAACCGTGTCCAGCGCCAACTCTGACCCACCGCTGACCACTCCAGATGCCACACAGCCTCCTACAGGCTCGGCCAGAGCTGGACACTGAGGCGCACACGTGGGTAAAACAGCACTGGCTTTCAGAAGCCACAAGACAGCTACTAAACCAAACCACCTGTCATCTCCAGAATAGCCGGGAGCAATGGAATATTCAAATGTGTGAACCACAGATACTCCTTGCTGCTTCCTGTTGTTTTTGTTGTTGTTGTTGTTGTTTTGAGATGGAATCTCACTCTGTCTCCCACGCTGGAGTGCACTGGTGCAATCTCCACTCACTGCAACCTCCACCTCCCAGGTTCAACTGATTCTCCCGCCTCAGCCTCCAAAGTAGCTAGGATTACAGGCACCCGCCATCATGCCCAGCCTTTTTTTTTTTTTATTTTGTATTTTTGTAGAGACGGGGTTTTACCATGTTGGTCAGGCTGGTCTCGAACTTCTAACCTCAGGTGATCTGCCTGCCTCGGCCTCCCAAAATGCTGGCATTACATGTGTGGGCCACCACGCCCGGCCTATTGTTCTTGATGAGAACTCACATTAGCCAGGAAAAGAGTACCATTCTTTAAAAATTCCCAGCAAGGTTTAACATTAATTTTAAAACATGAAATATTGATTTTTCTCAGTGATTCTATGAAATAACAATTATATATCAAAACTCCAAAACCACACTTAACTATGCATTTAAAAACAAACACATAGAATTTATATTCAATTTTGAAAATGTGAACACAGCGTTTTGAAACCAGTGGATGCAGAGTACCTCTCACACCAAGCTCCTGAGTATCCCGGGGCACACTGGTCGCAGACCACCTCATCCCCATCATTGAGGTGGCAGGTGGGGCTGAAACTGTCAGAACAGAAATGAACAAAATTTTCCAATGAATGAAGTCGAATTTCTAAATATTTAAAATGCTTAATTTCTACCACTCCTGTGCTTACAGACTATCAGTGAGATCTCCTTAGCTCAGAACCCGGGGCCTCTGGTCACCCAGCCCACCCTGTGAGTCTCCACCCCTCATCGACTCTTGGTCCCATGATCCAGGCACGGACACTCGCGCCTCACTCCCTGCTCCCTACTCCTCTTGTTCTCAGCCCACAGTGCGCCAACTTCTCCCGCTGTCTGCCTGGGTTAACCCAGCTGAGCCCCAGTGCCCAACTCAGGTGACGCTTCCTCCAGGAGGCCTACTCGGGTGCTCCTAGGATGCTGGGTTCCCCACCTCGGGTTCTCTGGCACTGACTTCCCACGTCAGAGCCCTGCCCATACCAGGGCAAAAGTGAGCTCGCTCAAACACAAAGTGGTCAGGAGGCTCTCGCACCTCTCCAGGGACCCCCTGCTAACTGATGCCCCTTCCAACCCTATTCCTAAACCTTGAGGAGCCTGCACAGGGTGGATGACGGTAAACACCCCCAATTTCATCACGAGTAACCCTGACTGCATCCTTTTTATATACTGGAATTTCAAATAAAAATCCCTGGGGGAATTCTTTGAGAGTGGGTGGAGGAAGAGTTCTAAAGGTTAAACCAGCGAGAGACAGAGGCTTTTAAGCTGCTGGCCTGTGGGATGCACTTGCCCCAGCGTGACTACAAGGCCTTGCCTGGTACATCTCCTTCCACCTCCCTCCATGCCTTCTGTTCCATGGCCTGCTGCAATTCCTCAAATGGGCGATGCCTGTTCCTGCTGCCATGCCACGTTCTAGGCTCCATCCGCCTAGAACGCCTGTCTGTGCTGCCTGTGGAATTCCTTCTCCTGCAGGTCTAAGAGCTTCCTGCACCCACCTCGGTAGGCTGGACACTGCTCTCCCTCCACCCCACCATCTGGTGGACAGGTCTCACTACACTCACGACCACACTGCGTCCCCGGGTGCCCACGGCCAGGTCAGAACAGTTTGCTACTCAGAACACCTGCTGTAAAACCCAGGCCACAGCAAGCACTCCATAAACATCTGTTGAATCAATGAATGGATTTAGACTATTCTTGTTTAGGCTCATACGTACGTACTTCGGTCATTAGATCAAAAACTCCCTAAGTCGAGGGAAAATGTTTTATTCCTCTCTGAATCCCTCTACCTCCTAGCCCACTGGTGAGTAGACAATATATACTTGTGAAACAACTAATGACCAAGAGGAACCAAGAGGGAAAACGGCGTGCATAGGTCCTTGCTGGCACACTCCTTTTCTTGCTTGCTTTAATACGCCAAACTTTGGTTTAGAAGAAAATAAGCCACCCCTCTGTCTTTAATCCAAATCAATTGTCACTGGCGAAATTCACACACTTATTACACACAAAGGCTTGCTCTGAAGACATTAGTACACATCTGGGTGGGAATGCTGGCCATGCCGGCAGGAAATGCGGATGAGGTCCGAGGCTTACTTGTTGGAGGCTATGGTGAGAGGGCAGGCGCAGGGCTGGCAGTCCCCGGGAGTCCCTCGGGAAGGCTCCCCGTAGAAGCCGGGCAAGCACCGCTCGCAGTGGTCGCCGGTGGTGTTGTGCGCACACGCCTAGGAACATGCACCAGAAGAATTGGCTCAGGTTGTCTTAAAGGATTTTCAGATTTATCTATAAGCAACTTGAAGTCCAAGTGGAAAAAAAAAAGACAAAATGCTAAAACCAGTCACAAAACTCTGAGCTATACGAGGAAGGCCTCCTGTTTTCAGATTAGTATCAGCAAGTGTCGTTTGTATAAATGAGAAACCTGAGAGCTTTCTCTCTGACTGATGAGCACGGACAAGGGCAGAAGCTTTTGCAAACATGACAGCAAGTGCTGCTTTGGCCAGAACCTTCCGACTCCTACCTCTACGGGGAATTCTGATGAAGAGTGGGATAGGCACATAGTCTCACAGTGTCCTCCTCCAACTGTTTTTCAGTTGCAAAAGGAAAGAATCGTTCATATATAGTGGAAAAACTGACTGACACCTTGCCTGTGTAATCAGAATTAACATCACCAGTGAGGGCCAGAGAGACACTGGGCCTCCCACTGGCAGTGCTCTGAGAGACTCATCCTTGACAAAGTATTCTGGCCTGAATAATCCATGAGAAACAAAAGAAGGGCCCAGAACCAAGGACATTCTTTTTTTTTTTTTTTTTTTAATGATTATATTCGGCCGAGCGCAGTGGCTCATGCCTGTAATCCCAGCACTTTGGGAGGCCAAGCCGGGTGGATCATGAGGTTAGGAGATCGACACCATCCTGGCTAACACGGTGAAACTCCATCTCTACTAAAAATACAAAAAATTAGTGGGCGCCTGTAGTCCCAGCTACTCAGAAGGCTGAGGCAGGAGAATGGTGTGAACCTGGGAGGTGGAGCTTGCAGTCAGCCGAGATTACGCCACTGCCTGGGCAACAGAGCCAGACTCTGTCTCAAAAAAAAAAAAAAGATTATATTCTTCAAAATGTCAATAGCATAAAATACAAAGAAAGGCGGTAGAAACATTTCCTATTAAAAGCTTAAGAAGACACAACGATAAAATTCAACATCTGATCCTAGATGGGGGAAAACAAAAACTTTACTTACAGAGTAAAGAAAAATTAAATTCTAATTCTAGAGCCAATAAGCCATCCTGGGCATCATTCTGAGATCTTCTCCCTGGGTCTGGTAATTAATTTTCCCTAACTCTGTGACTAGTCAATCCCTTTTGGAAAAAGCATGAACATTTTCCCTGCCAGGTGACCAGGGTACAGCTGGTTAACGTATGCAGTCACTCCACCTCTGAGGATCAAACCCATGAGACCGCAGAGTGTGGCCTGGCTTCAGGGCATAGGGCCTAGAAGATTCCTGATGGAAGTTAAAAAACAAGTCCTGCCCCATGTCTGCCCTAATGTTGATTCTCAAGATTAACTACCTATTTCTTAAGCCCTGTTTCAACTCATATTGCATGAAAGAAGTACCTGTTTGATGAATTTATCCCAACTAACTATAAAGCATGGTATATAAGTGGGGTGATTATACTTTATTCGTCTTCTTATGGTATATTATGTAATATCATGATTTTAAAAAAAAATACTAGCATTGTCTGTGGCCTCAGCTGCTTGGAGGGTTGAGGCGGGAGGACCATTTGAGCCCAGAAGGTCCAGGGCTGCAGTAAGCACTCCGGCTTGGAGTGACGAGGCAAGACCCTGTCTCAAATAAATAAATAAATAAAGAGTAGCACTGTCATCTCAAAGATCCTATCCTCTGTATTTAGTAAGTAGACAACATTTTCTCCCTTTCTATTGCTTTACAGTCTCAGCAAATAAAAACAACTACTTTATATTATTCTAATAAAAAGAACTGTAATGAAATTGTATATCCCTTTTCT